TCGGTTCCTTGCCGAAGCATGGTCAAATATCATCGAGAACGTCAACCTTTAGAGGATAGTGCGACAATGAAAAATATGACGGTTAGTTGTGAAATAAGCGAATAATGTGGTTGGAGCGACTGATGGTGGAGAAATTTACTATGCTTGCAAAATTGCTTAAAAATTTTCACAAAATTTGATAACGGTAATGTAGCCAGTTTGTCTGAAATTATGTACAGTTCTAACAGCATTATCCTATTTGTCGTCGTTTCAACGTCGTGTCGTCGTGTCAGATAGGCACTGCACTTTTTTCCAGATTTTAATATCTGAAACCACTTCAAGCTGGTTTTCTGAAATATGTTCTTTAATTGTGCTGTTATGTCAAACGAAGCACAAGTCCTTTGAGTTCTTCCGCTCGTGGTAATCCGGTGTACAAGCATACTTTGAGAATATTCCGACGACAGTGATGCAGTAAATTATCTAAATAGGGTTCATAACTCTTCAGAAAAACAGAATTTTCAAAGTTGTACATGAGCGTCGCGAATAAGCGAGCTCTTTGCATTCGTCAATATAGTTTGATCTCAGAACGTCGTGTAGCTTGCCAAAATTCGTTTATCGAGTATGAATTTGGCATCTTCTATCTCAAAATCGTTCTGCAGACGATCGGGTAGAATTCTTAGGCACAACTATCTTTCTGCCTTAAAGAAAATTCGAGACACGATCCGAAACGTTGATCCTGCTCAATCATCAAATCGACCAAACTGTTTGTATTCTGTATCAACCCACGTGATTTGTGATTCAATGTTTCGAACGCTTGCGTTAGGTTGTCCAGTAGAGCTCTCTAGGTGTTTCATCGTGTTATGATGTTAACTATGATTGGCTTCCAGATTCCAAAAAATTGGAAAAGGAAGAAATTTTTCTCTTGAGATACGTGCCCATAACTTTCAGCAGACAGCACATAAAATGCCTTATTTACGGCCTTTACATAATAGGCAAATGAATACTTCAGCGCAGACAAATAAAGAGAAGTCATTCAATGCAACACGCTAGTTGTTTTTAAAAGTTTAGGAGCAGAATCAAGGGACGCTGGACACTCTCATTTCGAAGAAAGATCCGTAGAAATGGTCCCGTGCAAATTGAAGCACTAGCCGTCCTTTGATAACGGTCAAACATGGCGAGCTTAAACCCTAAACCTTGGAAGACTTTACAAAATTCCGGATTGAGTGAAGAATTTATTGACCAAAAGAACATATAAGCAAAAGAGTCGAAATTTTAATTGAAATGAAAAACGATAATATGTAAATTTTCATGATAAAGTGGTACCAGAAGAAAAAACGCAAAGCTTGTTAAATGAATTTATTTTAGTTAAGTTTACTTTATGTAGCAATGGAGGCTGTTAATCTTTGGTAAAATTGTCTTTTCCCAGTTGTTCATGCTTTATTCTTGTTCTATCGTGATAATCGCTAGATATTCAATACTGGACTCCCACTTTTTCGTTCGAAAATCACGATGCAAATAGCATTAATTGTGGCTCTGATTTAGCCTGGCGATGGTGACAAACTTGCAATCAACTTTAACCATGTCAGTAGTCCTGCTGGTGAAACGATGCTCCATCGATTTACTGTCGAATGATAATGTACTAGAATTCCAATGGAATAAATTTTTGTTCGTTCATTCATTCAATTCAGTTTAATGTAGTTTACTTCATGGGTCAAGAAGACCACAACGAATTACCCCGAACAAAGGGCTTGGAGAATAAGAATAATGAATAATAATGTACATGAGCATAGGGAACCGATCCGTACTTAGGCAAACTTCCGTGTGACAAGCAGCAGGTCTAAAATGGTTTATGGTTGGCTACAGCTTGACCAGCAAGTTGCTAGCGGATCGTCCATGCACGTAATGAAGCAAGGGAATCGATTCGATCATTTCTCTAACGGTAATGTTCGGGTCTAGACCACTAGAAAAGCTGCAATTTTGATAGCTCACCATAATATGGGCCACTACCATTCCTTTTGCATCAATTCAAAAATGCAAAAGTGTCGGAGATTGTATTTAAGGAGCTACGGATATCTATTTTTCTGAAAATAGCGGTACTACCTAGGAAGCAGCATATTACATCCAACATTGAGTAATTAATAACGCGTACACGCATGCGTAGTTTCGTTTGCTTGGCTTGTAGAACGTCACATTGTTTGCACATTTTCGTCTTGCCTCTAAACAGTCGTAGATGCAGAAAATTTTCCCGTGCCGGGAATCGAACCCGGGCCGTGCGGGTGAGAGCCGCAAATCCTAACCACTAGACCACACGGGATGTCATGTACACCTCTTAAGTAGTAAATTAATACAAATATTAAGATAAATGTCACTGAAACTTACCGATTTTAATATTACTGTCAGTGGGTCCAAACGATAACGACTCTCTAGCGACATAGCAATGTCAATTTAGCTGGCAGATAATAAAATATAATTTTTCCGCCTGAGAAATTGCTGTACCTATACAAAACGAGTTTATTACATCATATATATATATAAAACGGCCAAACGATAGACAGTCATACACTAGGAGGCGTAGAACACCTGCAACTAATCCTGTTTCACCCCTACGTTCTATTAAATGGTCTACGTTTAGCATAAACAAGGCTCGATTAACTTTCTGTGATATGCTCGTTCTCGCAATGACAATTTTTTAAACTCAGGATTCAAGAAAATGGTTGCTTTTGCAGCCGAATCTCGTATCTGCAGAAGTCATAATGAAGCAAAAACAAAATTTCCTCCTACAGGAGACTGGAGAGTTTGGAAAAATTCTAGAAAATTGAAACCTGCGACAAACGTGTATGAAGTTGGAGCAGTCTTATACCATGCAACAGACTAGTTTCACGCTGTACATTAAAGGTTAGAAATATCCAAACAGAATTAGTGTACTGATCAGATGTTCGGAGAAAATTCAACCCACTTATTGGCACACTATCAATTTAAAAAACTGGCCATGGCTAGATCAGTATTAAATTTAATGGACAAACAATTTGACATTATTCCTACACTAGAAGTGCATTGGAAATACTGCTGGATACTTTAAAATGCTGATTCTTACCTCCGCTTTCCAGCCGCTATTCAGGACAATCCACATCCGCATCATATAGCCTTGAATAACATATGAAGATAGACCGATGCGCAATTACTTTTCAAACTCAAATTACGATGCTCAACCAGACCAAAAATGTCGGTACACTTTGTTTCCTCAAAACTAACTACCAACTGTACTGTCGCCTATTAATTCCGTTATTAATCCCATAAATTAACTCTCCCTGCGATAAATTGAATCATAGACCATTCGTAAGTCTCGAAAAGACTCACAAGCAGAATACCTTACACCTTGTTCGAATGGCGCACAGTAGCAAGGGTAAAGATGTTTTAAGAATCTGACGTTGCTTGCTCTTCAAAATACTCGACTTCGTGTTAAACGAGATAATACGCTGAAAATCACATACATCAGAAAAGCGCCAAAACGAAAACGTATTTGCAAAATTCAACCAGAATTAAGAATTTATTAACAAAACCATATCTGCAATCAAATATTTAGAAATCGTTCCATTCAGCCCTGACAGAAGACAAAATACAGACGCAGAAATATTTGCTGCACAAGCATCTGCTGTTATCATCCCATCAGTCTTTGCTACGTTGAAGGCGTCTCTTTTATGTCCAACTTGAGTTGCTCCAACTGTTCGCATCTGGAGGCCAGTTCAGCATCTGCCTGAAACAAACGTCAATGTACCTTTACTGCTTGAACATGATTGAAAAAAAATTCAAGATATTAGCACCAATCAACCATATAAACACACGTCTAATTTAGTTAACATGAAATAACAAAATAAAAAATTATAACTAGAAAATAAACAAGTGCCATTGGCGGCATATGGTAATACAGTCTAAAGAGTATAAAAAGAACCAAATGAATCAAGTGTCCGCATTTTAACAGCTGCTTGGAATCATAAACTCATTACCTAAATGCCAGGGGAAGAAACGAACCTGCGCTGGGCAAGTAAACACGAACAACGGAACAGTTCATACAAAATTTTAAACCGATCACAGTGACTTATGAAGTGAGATTGAGAGCATTCTCAATATTTCTCATTAATATAAGCGAACGAAATACCGTAGGACGAGTAACTAACAAAGTACAAAACGATACGCTGCAAAAAAATGCTGCTGAGTCCATTACTGCTATGATGTGTTATGACTATGAAAAACTTCAACAGGAAAACCATGACAACGAGAGAAACATTTTCTTAGTTGAAACAATGACTTACTCCTCATCAAAAATATCTCAGCAGTTGGAATATGTCTTTACGTAATACGCATATGAAAAATTCAAAAAAATCTGGAATACGTTAATGGGCACAATTCCACCAAGCTGAGTCACAAAACATCATGACCGTCACTTGATTCCGAGATACATAAACGGATTCTTACGTGTTGGATTTCATATTCATGGGTTAGGTTTTTTATTAATTGAGCATAGGCGAAGAATACAGCTATCCACAAGGTCAAATAAATTACTCACTTTCATCTTCTTCATCCGTTCATACTGAGGTTTGTAGTCCCTAAATAAATTTTCAATATAACGGGTCGTAGATGCAAATAAACAATAACTTAAACGTATGTAAAATATCAAAAAAAGACATTAATACTACATTAAATATTTAATAC